CCTTCCCCGCCGCAGGCTGCGCTCATCGATGAGCTCTACGGCCTGGTGGTGGATGCCATTTTTGGATTCAGCTTCAAGGGAGCGGTACGGGAGCCCTTCGGCAGTATCCTCAGCACCCTTGAGCGCATCACGGTGCCCATCGCCAGCATCGACATCCCCTCGGGTGAGTAACGGCCGGACCTGCTGGAAGAAGGGGCCTGGCCGGAGACTTCCCGGCTCCAGCCTGGCCTCGGGGCTTGTTGCAGGCTGGGACGTGGAGAAGGGGAAGGCGGACGGTCTCCAGCCCGACATGCTCATCTCGCTTACGGCACCCAAGAAGGCAGCCATGCATTTTGCCGGCCGCTACCACTTCCTTGGGGGCAGGTTTGTGCCCGCCGCGCTCCAGGAGAAATACGCTTTAAACCTGCCACCGTACCCTGAGACAGACTGCGTCCTGCAGCTGACCTAGGGCTGGGGCTCAGCAGGGGCTGGGCTAGGCTTTGGCATAGCAGATCAGAGCCTAATTCTGCCAAAGCCATAGCGCTCTGCTAGGAGGATGCTCAGCACCTCACCGGGCTTCAGTCCTACCCCGCTCTGCCAGCCAGATCGAAGTTCACTGCAGACCAAAGCCCTCGGGAGCTTGGGATTGATGGGGCAGCTGCCAGGTGGGCTCTGTTTGGGGTTGGTGCCTTATCCGAGTGCTTCTAGGTGTAGACGCAATCCAGGATCTGCGACCTGTTTTGCACTTCAGGATAGTTTCATTGCAATAAAGATTTATTCATGCCCTTGAAAAAAGTATTTCAATACTCTGTGGGGTCTGTCCCCTTGTGTCGCTCTGCGACAGACCCACGGCAAATAGGTCCCTGCCCCAGGGCCTGGTGGGAACTGGGGTCACCCCTGATGGAAGGAAGGTTTAGGGAGTGAAATAAAGCTCGATCCAGCCCCGGACCAACCAGTCCCTGCCCAGCATCCCCCGGCAGCGAACATGCAGCTGGGCCACAGCGCTGGGCTCCACCTGGGAAGAGCCTGGAGTACCCTTGGGCACCCATCGGTGCCAGCAGGCAGGATCAGGACCCTCACAGCCAAATGGTACCAGCAGCTGCGCAGCACGGCAGCCTTGGCCCTTGCTCACTCTGGCTCCCTCTTCCTCTTCTTCCTCTTCTTCCTGGGGCTGTACCTAGCCTTGTCTGGGCCATCTGTGCTTTCTAGAGGTACGTCTGTCTCAGCCAGCTCTTCTTTGTCCTCTTCTTCCTCTTTCTTCTTCTCAACTGGCTCTTTGTCCTCCTCCTCCTGCTTCTTCTTCTTTTTCCTCTTCTTTACAGCTTTGCCTTCCTCTCCTGCCACCTCCTCTTCTGCACTTAGCTCCTGCTTCTTCTTCTTCTTCTTCCTCTTCACGACCCTCCCTTCCTCTCCCACCACCTCCTCTTCTCCACTTGGCTCCTGGCTCTGCAGCACTTCAGGATCAGCTCTGTCCCTGGATTGTTTCCTTTTTTTCTTCTTCTTTTTTTCCCGCTTCTCTGCTGGGGGGCTGCTCTCTGGGGGCTCATGCTGCCGCTCCTTGTGTCGGTAGGTGGCCAGGAAGGCTCGCTCCTGCTCCTCCAGGCGTGCCAGCTTGGCACCCATGGTCAGGCCGTGACGGGCACCCCTGCGAGGATCATGGGCAGCCAGGGTCTGGCACCTCCCTGGCAGGGAACGTGCCCCCCTCTGCTCGAAAGCCCCAGCCAGGAGAGGGGAGCCCAACTGTGCAGCCCCCACTAACCACTTACTTGTGTGCCGTGCGACCCCCGCACGCTCGCATCAGCTCCTCGTCTGTCAGCCTGCGGGACACAGACAGGACGTGTCACCCCCAGCATGGGCATGGTGGGGGGAGCACAGTCCAGACCAGGGCTCCCCCTCGCAGCCCTCGTCCCTCCCCCACTGCCACATCGTGCGGATGGGGCCTCGCCTCCTGGCTGAAGAGAGGTCCAGCTTCTCCTCTTCCTCCTCCTCACTGCTCTCTGAGCCGGTGGGCAGCTTCGTGGATTCCTCCCCATGTGCTGTGAGCGTGGCTGACTGCAGCGGGGAGAAGGAGAGGGGCTGTGAGAAAGGAGAACAAGGAGAAGGGGGCCCTGGGGGTCACAGCAGTGATGGGCTGGGGCGGCTGCGCTGCGAGGCGGGGGTACGGCAGCATTCACAGAGAA